TGGTTTTCATTCTTTCCATGGTATTTATTGAATATTGAGTACTGTGCCAAGCCCTTTGTTGGGTACTGGAATAGTCACAGATAGTTAGGTGCTGGAGGGAAACTGAGTGGTAGGGCCTCTGGGAGTTCTGCTGGGGCTCTGCCGGTCGCTGGCCCAGCCATGCAGACCCTGTGTCCTTAGGGAGAAGGGGTGAGAGCACCACTAAGCATGGACAAGTAGGACACGCAGTGGGGACCTGGTAGACAAAGCCTGGTATGAGTGGTTGGCTTTAGAATGTCACTGTTGAATCACCCATTGAGCGCTTCCCAGGGCTCCAGCAGGAGCCGATGCCAGGCTCATAGTCAAGAACTCCTAGAGAGTGCACAGCAGAAGTCAGAAGGAAGCTTCAGGTGCATTTCTAGGACATTTGCCCTGCTAACAGCAGAACCCTGGAAACCTGAGTCTGTAAAGGCCTTGGAGTTCTAACAGCCATGCTGAGAGGCAAGATGGAGAGGGGGAACCACAGCCGGAAAACCTACAGCCCCAAATAATTCACTGTGAAGGGACATCGGGCTATTTTTACTCCCAGTTCAATACATGCAGAGGAATCGCTGCCAGAAGTCAAGTTCAGGGCAGGAGCTTCCATTCAGGCACGCTAGCTGGAACGCTGGGTGTACGGCCCAGACACAACGGAAGGCCCCTGAGTCAAGGGCACTTGCAGGCATCTGTGCATGGAGCAACACTCATGATCTCGTTCCTAATGGCAGCCATGTAGATGTTTAATAGCGTGCATGGTGCACCACACGTTTCCCAGTGTTTATCTATACACCCCTTTATACGCAGTGCCACATGGCATTAACATTACATGTCAGGAACAGAGAATCAATCACTCCTTGTTGTCTATCACTTCATCCTATTAGTATTTCTCTCTAGGGTTTTCCCCACCCCCACCCTAAGTTTATTACATAGTTGTAACCATTTACTCCTCCCTGAAACTTACAATACAGACACCAGACACCCATCTACAAGCTGGTCATCTGGGGGAGGGGTGAGGAACAAATGAGAAAATACCCTTCCCTGTCATTTTTTAAAACACATTCGGTTTTTGGTTTTTTGGTGGGTTTTTGGTTTTGATGGTGGTTGTTTTGTTTGTTTTGCATTTAGACTTTTACATTCTAGTCCCAACAGGAAGAAGGAAGAAGGAAGTCATAGAGATGTATGCATGCACCCACACACATGTCCCTCCCACTCTACCCTACATTCCTCCCACCCTACCCCTACACACACACTGCCTCCTTGGCCTCCTCATCTCTCCCATCCATTACAGCTGTAAGTCCCCTCCCACAGTGTCCTACTGTCTGGCCCCATGTGCCCATGGGGACGGGGTGGGCAGAGAAAATGGACAGACCTGAAAGGGCAGACCCCTGAATGTGGGTGGCCTGATTTGTGACAGATTCTGTGAGGAAGGACCTGGCACAGAAGGGTACGGAACAGAGCGCTGAGTCTCTGTGGATTATCTATCTGGGGACTGGTCTTGAAGTCCTGGCCAAGTGGGACACAAAGACAGGACTTGTGTTTCAGGGGGAAAATAAACTAAAGTTTTCTTTGGTGATAATCTTGATCATTCAGTATCCAGGTATTTAAAACCAAGAACACAGGTAGATTTGGGTTTTGTCTTCTCTCTGTATGGTTGACTTGGTGCAGAGACCATCCCTTCTCCTTACCTTCTCCCAGTTGCTCTGTTTCCCTTGTTCCATATGTCTGCCTTTGCTGTTAAACCATCTTATTCTCTGCATCTGTTTCTCAGTCTTCAATGCTGAGTTTTGTTTGGTCTTAAACACTACCAGCTAGACCTAGGACCTTGTGCATGGTTGACAGCGCTCTACCGCTGAATCCCATCCCTGCATCTCCTTCCCTCTTGCTTAAGCATCAACCAACCCAGTTCCCTCCTACAAAGCAGATGGGGTTTGCAGGATAGTCAAGAGAGGACAGGTCTCTCATACCTTAAATACCTCTTTGTTTTCTTTCTTTCTTTCTTGCCAAAATGAAATCTAAATACTCATTACACATCCAAACCAAAGTGGAAGACACACACTTGCCAGGTCCCTTCCTTCTTATCTATGGGAGATATATCCCAAGAGGTTCCTAGAATGTCTAGAACCACGGACAATGCTGAATTCCCTGCACACCATGTCCCACTTCCACAAGTATATTTAGAATAAAGTAGACTCTATACAGAAGGCATAATTAAAGACCAACAACAGCAATTATAAAATGCAAAAATAATAGCATTACATTGATAAAAGTTACTTTAAACTCCTTAATTGCTTTTTTCCCCCTGGAAATCCCCATTTATTATTTTTGGATGTAATGGATCTTGGGTAGATGAGACAAAGGAAGGCAAAACCATGACTAAAGAGGCAATTGTGGTATGTCTGTTCAACAGTGTGCGAGAGCATGCTATGCGGTCAAACTTCTTTAGTTTTAGGAATCCTTTGGAGCATGGCATGTCCCTGAATAAACATCCTATCTGGTTAAACAAGACTGAGACTTCATTGTAACTTTGGGTCACTCAACTGGCACCTGGGAGCAGGGGCACACAGTTCACAATATGGACGAGACGGGAGAACAGCATACCAAGTAAAATAAGCCAGAAAATAATGCATGGTTCCATTGCTAGGAGGAACCTGGCAGAGCCACATTGGAGGTGGAAAGTGAGAGAGGGTTACTAATCAGGGGCAATGGTGAGGAGGAGTGGGTATTTAACAGGTGAGCTGTCTCAGATCTAAAGGATGAAAAGATTCCTGGGCACTGCATGGGCAACATTGTCCACTTAGAATAATGAAGATAGTCATTCTCATGATGATTACATTTTACTACAATTAACATTTTTAAACTGAAAAAAAGTTCAGCTTAGTGAATTTTCCATGAATGTGCAGGCTTGGATCTAGAAGAGACAATCAAAAGTCATTTAACCCAAAGATTCTCAACTATTTGTTGACTGGAATCCACAACAAAAGCTAGATTTTGTGTCATGATCCAGCATGCAAATGCTAAGACAGGAACATACATGTATACTTGAATAGAACACATACATACATACACAAATATACACCCAGCTAAAAATACAGAGCTAAAATGGCACAGGGAGCACTGGTTACTATGTGTGTTCTGTCTTTTCTCCTACACAGTCCTGTCCAATTTTATTTTTAAAATATCAGTTCCATTCTACAAAACTGATTTCCTTATCTATCCACGAGTTAGGTTTCAGCCTGCAGCTCAACAACCCTGGTCTGGATTATCCTCCACAGCAATACAGGGATGTCCAGTATCTCTCTGCTGGGTGGTCATCCAGCTTCCCCAGATGCCATCCGTGATGGGAATCTCACTTTCCATAAGGCAGCCAGGCTCTGTGACGGACCTTCTTAGCAGGTAAAGCTCCCAAGTCACTTCCCAGTTGTTCCAGATGTGACTGGGTGGAGCTAGGGAAAAGAAGAAGTTTGGGACCAGGTAGAGGGGTCTGAGCATCTTGGGAAAGGACCAAGAACACAATTATAGCCAATAGGCAAGGAGCAAGGTGGGCTGGGGGCAAGGGCAGGGGACTGGGAGGTGGCGGCTGCCTTCTGGCTATGCACTGACCCGCCCCCTCTGTCTTTGCTTCCCTGCACTGCTATCGTTATTCCCACATCTGGTACATGATCTCATCTCCCAAGCACCCACCTGAGGGAGAACTCTCCTCCCCGAGGGGCCCCAGCCTTAGGGGAGACAGCTTCCACTACATTCCATCTCTACCCTTCACCCCTTATTACTCCAGCAGGTCATTGCCAGGTCATCCCATGTGCTTGGCATTGGGACACAGGGTATCCCTGCCTCAGGTCTTCAGACAGGGTGACCAAAGGCTGCCTGACCTATCCTCTTAGGTATCCCCCAAAACTGTCCGGTTTGAGGACAATGGGGCTCCTAGACACCTGTGTTTCTGGGAGAAATAAAACAAAGACAGCACTGCCACGTGGGGACACAGCTCTCTGCCGGACATCATAGCTCTGAATCCCTGGATGAGGAAAAGCAGGAGAAAAAAGATGCTCACACTCCCCGCTGGGGCGGTGGGCTGAGCGCAAAGGGGGCTAGCTGTGACCGGTCAAGGATCAGGGGACCTGGGTGTGGCAGTCCTGCAAGCTTGCATCCTCTGCCTTAGAGCCGGTTGCCTAGCCCGTTAGAATTGGGTTGACCTCAGGGTGGGGCGGGGCAGGCAAGAGGGGATGATCTCACTGTACCATTAAGGCGGAGAGAGGAAAAAGTGAGACTACACAGAGCTAGAAGAGAAAGAAAAGACAATGCCCAAAAACAAGAACAACAACTAAAAGAACAGATGAGATTGCCAAAAGCAGAGATTCTGCAGCTAGAATGGGGTCTCCAGTCAGAACAGCCCCTGAGGAAGCTGAGCTCCGACAAACCTTCCTCTCTTAAAAGTAGAACATCTTTTATGCAGAAATAACTCAACACGACCCTCCGACATGTACAACTCATCCTGAACAAAAATGATACCCAGAGCCCACCCGAACCCCTCCTCAAGCGCCATCATTTTACCTCGCCCTGCTTTCCTTCCAGCATTTGACAAAGTTTAATCGACTGAGTGAAACCAAAGGCAACACAATAGACATCAAACCCGTCATTTCTCCCTCTCTTTGGCTGCTGTTTTGTTCCTGTCTTTTGTTTGAAAACCCTTCCGATTATCCATATCTGAGTTCTACTTACCTGCAGTCCGATTTCCAGAGAGCTGTTCTCTTCTCACTCCCTCAATTAGTGGTACCCTGGGCTTCTCTCAACATCAGCACCGCTGCTGGGCTCTCGCCATGACATCACCTCCGAGCTCCCTGATTGGCTAACAGTGGGTTGCTTGGCAATTGGACAGTCTCCTCTGGTGGAGCAGGGATTGCCTGAGTGAGTAACTCTTAGCAGGCTGGGGAGTGGAAGATGATGTCAGACAAAGAGCCTGCTTTCCCCGCTGCCTGTGGGGCTGGGGAAACAGAGAGGGGGGAGCATGGTCAGGAGGCAAGAGAGAGGGTGTGGTATCGCGGGTTGGGAGTGCTAGCACAGCTTTCCAGCTAGGGGAAGGATGGATGGACTTGAAGAATCTTTAGCTCTTCAAATCTGGAGGAAGGAGGGAGAATGTGGAATCTAGAGGAGCAACAGAAAGAACAGATGAACCCTAAAAATAGCCCCCTAAGAACTTGGTGCCTGTTCCCAGTTCCATCAGAGCCGACACCTGTGAAGGATGGTTTAGATGGCAGGAAAAGGCTCCAGAAATCCCAGGTCCAGGAGCTGGTGAGGAGACTCCAGCCTCACAGGTGTCCCGGGAGAGCAGGGTTTCCCTCTGGCCTCCCTCAAAAACATGTTGCTCTGTCTCTTCTGCAGAATCTACCTAGCACTACTGTGTCCTCACAATTCACTCAGCCAGCCTGAGCCAACCAGAGGGAGCCACAGGTAGGAAATTAAACTGGAGATCATCACACCAGGGACTTTCTAAATGTGGTGAATTCCTGGAGGGTAGAGACGGGTCACTGGTCGTGACTTTCCTGGGGACTGAGGGGACCCTCTGTGTAGATTCATCATCTGTTCACACGTTGCCTGTCAGCTGCAGACAGCAGGCACAGTGGGTAGGAGAAGTGTCGTGTGGAACAAGACACTCCCTCCGAAGCCCTCATACACTACCACCTAGCCTTGATTCACTCCCTTTCCTTAGGAGGGTGTAGTATTTTGTTGTAAGATTTACTCTTTTAACTACTTAACCAGGAGACAGTTCATTGACACTTACAGCCACCAAGCTGTGTGAAGACAGCCACCACCCATCTTCAGAGCCCTTTCATCCCTGCTAACTTCATCCAGAGCCTTCAACCACAAATCCACCTTCCCCAACCTCTGTCTCCTGCGCAGCTCAATAAAGCTACCTGTCCTGTGTGCTCAGTGTGAGTGAATCGTACGACGTCTGTCCCCCTGTGGCAGACTTCCTTCATTCACATCTTATTAATGTCTTTGTCCAGTGTCGATTGGCTTTGGGGATCCCCTCCTCCTCTGCTACCCCATAGACTGTGAGAACATACAAATGACCTTGAATTCATATCAGGCTTGGAGGAGGAGTTGTTGTTGTTTTATTTGTGTGAGGCACAGTCTTGCCTTGTAGCCTTGACTGGCCTGGAAATCACTATGTAGACCAGGCTAGCCTCGAACTCATAGAGATGCACCTGCCTCCCCCTCCTCTTCATGAGTTTTGGGATTAAAGGAATGCACTGCCACGCCCAGTTTTGAGATGCGTTTTTAACAGCGATAGCATAGGTGCATAAAGTGATGTCTGCAGCATGTAGCGCACATCATGTGTCCACTGTATAGACTGTCCTGGAGACTAGGCAGAGACTCTGGCCCTGGCATTCACCCTTCACCTGTCCCCACCCCCTACAGCCAACATACACGGTTGGTTTCTCTGTGCTCAGCACTCTGTGTTGCTCCGCAAGGGTCCCTTGTGGACAGATCTCCAAACCCCTGGCTTTACATCAAGAGGAGAGGTCAACTTTATGCTGCTTGGGAGTGACTGGGACTGGGGTGTACCTGCCTTTGGGTTTCAGAACACATCTGAATGTTCGTTCAGGCTTCGTCCTGAGCAGTGCAGCCAGGGAAGAATGCCATCCTGACTGAATTTCAGTAAGCATCGTCGCATGGCACACAGACTCCCCCAGTTTCCAGCTCAGACTCAGAGGCGCCCCTTAGCATTCCAGATTGGGCTCCAAATTTAAACGGACCCCCAAACGTGGCCTCGTGGCTACAGTCTGCTCTCTCCCCTCTCCCTGCCCCCAGTCTGCCCTGCCCAGTCTGAGGAGTCTGGACCTCCATACACAGATTGGCTAGCTCTGGAAAGGGAGGGAGGGGGAGCAAAGAGAGTGGGTTGCCATGGCAATGGCAGCCAATCAGATATCTGCTGATCTGCTGCTACTAAAAGAGGGAAAGGTGGTCTGTGTCACCCTGCCTGTGAAGGAGGGTGGAGTGGGGGAAAGGGTCAGATGAAAAGACACAGGACATCACTATCCAAGGCAAGGAATAGGAGCAGAGAAGACAAATGAGAGGAGGGCTGCTCCTTTTCTAGAATTATCTAAGTATTGCTCCAGTGACAGGCTATGATGACCACACACACACACACACACACACACACACACACACTCACACACATACATACACACACGCACGCACGCGCGTGCATACACACACACAGTCACTCTGTAGGGGATTACCCGCATCGTCTATAACAGACACTTCAAACAGTGCACGTGTCAAGAGGTGAGGCTTCAATCTGAATTTGGAGGTACACAGAATAGGAAAATTGTGTTAGAAAGAGGAGGATGGTATGCCAGGTAGAGCCACGCTCCGGAGTCCTAGTGGATGGCTTCCCCAAGCTGCTATAGAATGATAAGCAAGGAGAAAGGCTCAGTTATTGTAGGAAAATATACAAAACATCAAGTCCAAGAAGGCCAAGGCCACGAAAGATATTAGAATCAGAACTAGGAGCTTAGCAGGGAGAGACTGAGGCTGGGCACAGGTGAAGGCTGGGCGGAGACTGTTTCTCACACTGTTCAGCTAAGAAAGGCAGTTCTCAAGAGGCTATCACTGTACCTGCCAAGTCAGCTTCAGTGTGAACCAAGGAGCTAGCGACCAATGCTCCACCTGCAGCAGCTGGACCTCAGGCAAAGATTGTGGGGCCCAACATACACAGATCTGCACCCTGGTCTCTGCAGTGCCACTTGTCATAGCTCAGATTGTACGTGACAAGGACACTCAGCACTCAAATCTCCACCTGCTTCCAGACTGCATCATGGAGACCTAGGTCATTTATTTCTAACCAGGAATCCCATGGCAGGTGCCTGTCAGTGAGCTGACTCATAATCCTTGTTGTAGGAGAGTGGCCAGTCACTTCTGTGTGCATCTGGGGCAGTTCTGTTGAAGACAGTCTACCTCTGGAGCCTCTTGGAAACTTGGACCTCTTTCAACACTCAGGAAATAGGATCTTAGTCTGACATGAGAACTCAATAAACCTGATAGATAACCGTGTGTTCACATGGCTTGCACCCGTGCAATAGCTAAAGCTCTACCTTGTAAGTGGGTGGTGCTCATCCTCCTCTGCCTGCAGGGAGGCTAAGGTCTCAGGCTAAGGTCTCAGGGTTTCTTTATGCAGACTTTGTGGAACTGAATGCTGTCAGTGAGTGTCTTGGAGTGAATAACAACATGTACGTATGATGTCATTGTTAAATGTGAACGATTGTCTCACTGGAAGAGTATCTTCTCTGACTCACGCGCCCTTGTGACACAAACGAACTCAGCTCCTTCGCCTTTAAGCCTTGCTGGGTGGCAGACTGTGTTTATAAAGACTGCTCCTTTCAAGGAAGCTAAGACCTGTGTGTCACGGAGAACAGCACCTGGCACAAAGCATGGCCTCACTCAGTGTCAGCTCTTGGGATTGTCCTTGCCTGCAGAGCAGATGAACTCTCTTAAGAGAAACAGAAACTCACTTCAAATCTGTGAAAAACACACATACACATGTTTGTGAAAATTCAACAGTAAAATATTATATTGTTAAACACACAATACAACTACAAAATGGACAGAAGCTATGAGGATATTTTTTTTTACTGAAAACATACAGACCACCGGTGTTACCTTTCTGTTGCTATATAAGATACCATGACCATGGGAGAGGGGCTTGGTCCCACTCCAACTTAATGTGCCAGATTTTGTTGACTCCTCATGGATGGAGTGATGGGTGGGGTGGGCTGGAGGAGAGGCGACGGAGGTGGGAGGGGGGGTGGGAAGGAGCACCGAGGTTGGAATGTAAAATTAAAAGTTATAAAGTAGATAAATTATTTTTAAAAAGACACCATGACAAACTTACAGAAGGAAGATTTTATTTGGGTTTACGGTTCCAGAAGACTAAGAATCCATCGTGGCAGGGGATTGTGGCTACAGGAGCAGTGAGAACATACATCCTGAATCACAGACAGGAAGCAGAAAGTGAACTGGGACTGGCTTGAGACTTGAAACCTCAGGTTCTTCCTCCCCCAGTGACATACTTCCTGCATCAAGGCCACATCTCCTAGATTTCCCCAGACACATTTATTTTACCTTTCAGTCTGTGTGTGTGTGTATGTGTGTGTGTGTGTGTGTGCGTGTGCGTGATGTCTGAATGCATGCATGCACACAGGTGAGTGCAGCTGTCTATGGAGGCTGGCAGAAGTTGTTGGATTTCCTAGAACTGGAGTTATAGACTGTTGTGAAAACTAGGATCCTCTGTAAAAATAGTTCTTAACTGTGGTGCAGTCTCTCCAACTCCTCATTATAAACTTATTAAAACAGCTAAAGTTGATGAACATTGTGGTATGTGTCTGCAATCCCAGCATGAAGGAGGCTAAGACAGAAAGATATTGAATTTGAGGCTGACCTGGCCTAAGTAGAGAGACTATCTCAAAATAAAACAAAACAAAAATCAAACCAAAACAACTACAAATAATAATAAATGAATACATAAACAAACAAAGGTTTAAAATGCCAAATTCAGGTAAGAACACAGAAAAAACAGACCTCTCATATACACTGCTGGTGGAAAAGTAAAATGGTAAAAAAAAAAAAAACTACTTCAAAAACAGTTTGGTTGTTTCTTAAATAAACATACATTAGCCAGAGATCTAAGCAACTGCACTCGTGGACATTATTCCTAGAGGATGGAAAGCCATATGCCTAAAAAGTGTGACTTGGACTACTTTTATATATTGTAAAAATATGAAAATATGCTTGAAAGTTTTCCTTGTAATAGCCCCAAGGTGGAAATAAGATATCTTCCAACAGGAGAATGATTAAACAAACTGTGTGATAATCATCCCATGGAATACTATCCAGTGATAAAAATGAATAGACTATCAGTATTGGTACAACTTGAATTTGTTCAACAGTTTGTACAACAATCTTTGGGGAATGACTCTGAGTGAGAGAAAAAAAACAGCAATCTCAAAAGGTCACAAACTGTTTGACTCCATTTATAAGCTAGTCACGAGATGACAAGTTTGCAGAAGTGGAAAACAGATTGGCAGTTAGCGGAGATTAGGAATGGTATTGGTAGGACAATAAATCGTCATGGAACCCAGCAACTTTGCGTCTTGATGGTGTCAACCGTCGCGAAAGCCAACACCGATGGTAAAATGGCAAGAACCGCAGGAACACCTGAGACCAATGTCAGGTTCCTGGTGTTGACACTGCACTGCGGAAGCCTAAGGTGTAGTCGCTGGGAATGGGTGCAGGGGCGTGGGTCTCTGCAAATTCTTCCAAATCCATATTTCAGAATTAAAAGTTCTAAAGAAAGAAAAAGCAAAAGAAAGGAGAGGAGAGGAGAGGAGAGGAGAGGAGAGGAGAGGAGAGGAGAGGAGAGGAGAGGAGAGGAGAGGAGAGGAGAGGAGAGGAGAGGAGAGGAGAGGAGAGGAGAGGAGTCAGGGCTGTTCCATAGAACCAGCAGAGGGATCCACTCCAGAGATCAGGCGGGAGCTGGGAAGTAGCTCAGTGGGTTGAACATGTGTGAGGTCCTGGGTGCCGCTCTGAGCACTGCACACATCAGGCATGTTGGTGGCATAGGCCTGCAACCCCAGCCAGCATGTAGAAGGTAGAGACAGGAAATTCAGAAGTTCAAGGTCAAGGGCTGGAGAGATGGCTCAGCAGCTAAGAGCACGGGCTGCTCTTCCAGAGGACCTCTGTTCAGTTCCCAGCACCCACATGGCAGCTCACAACTGTCGGTAACTCCTGTTCCAGGGGATCCAATACCATCACACAGACATAGATGCAGGCAAAACACCAATGTACATAAAACACAAATAAATAAATGAAATTTTCTTTTTCTACATAGGGTGTTTGGAGTCAGCTTAGGCTAT